GGGTACCTTATTCTAAGGGCGACCTGACGGGAGCGCCGCGCCTACCGCGCAGAGCAGCGGGAGACAAACCTGAGGCCCCTAGGCCCCTGAAAGGGCTCGGAAGGCCCTTGGGAGGCTTCTGAGGGCTGGCAGAGGGGCCTCAGGGGGGCTTGGGGGGCCTCAGAAGCGCAGTCGAAAAAAACGATTTCGAGGTACTGCGATCCACCCGAAGTTTCTCATTCTAGGGCGACCTGACGGGTTATTCGCCAGCGGCCTGCCGGGCATACCGCGCAGCCCACAGCTGCCTGCGGGACTGGAGCTCTGTCGCCCGAGAGCTGCCTCGCCTGCCGGCTTCGGCGCGTTCGCCCTGCTCAACGGCCCCGGGCTCACTCAGTTTAGGGTTTAGGTGTTAGGGTTTAGGGTTTAGGGTAATATAGTGTTATGTAAGGTCTATAAAATATGTAGATAAGGCTTCTAATACAAGGTTTATACAATTGTTGTGTATGATTTAAAAGGGTGTATAGAAGGGGTTACATGCAGTTTGTATGGGGCGTAGACAGGATTATGAAGGGTTGCGTAGGTTTTGGGCTATGGGCCTAAGGTTCCATGACCTAAGTCTGTAAGGGTTCAGGTTGTAGGGACGTAGAGTTTAAGATTTAAGGGTTTAGGGGTTTGGGGTTTAGTGGTTGGGATTTAGGGGCTGGGACTTTAGGGTTTAAGATGTAGGGCTTAGGTTTTTGTTGAATGGATTTGGGTTTTTGGGCTCAAGGTTTCAGGTTTAGGGCGACATTACATGAAAACTTACAATAAGTGAACCCTATCTAAAGTAATGAGCTTGCTCCGCAAAATTTTGGAACCCGATCCCCTAATAAACAATCCTTCCAAGAATGCTACCATAATATACTCGGGCAACCCATCCATTCCCAGGGTGATCCTTGGATTATTTTTCAAAAGGCCTAAACCCAAAACCCTAAGGAGGGGATGAATTATTCTGCGGCCCCTTGCTCTCCAGGATTACGGGGGTTGCGCTACCACATAGCATACCATAATGAGACCCGTGCTGCCTCGCAATGCATCCCATGAACCTGTGTGGAGTTTGTGGTACATACAGTAAAGCTTTAGAATCTGCTAGAACTACAAAGGGGGTTATACTCAGGCCATTATAACCCTTTTCTTGCCCTCAAAATACCCTGAAGCTTGTAGAGAGCTCCAAATTCCCGAACCCCAGTTGCACCAACACTGTTAGCCTGAAGCAGAGCAAGGCTGCGGTGACTTACCCTACACCCAGGTTTAGGGTTTAGGAATTTAGGGCTTAGGGTTTGGGGGTTTAGGGTTGAAGGTTTTAGGGTTTAGGGTTTTAGGGTCAAGGGCGTTGCTGTAGTTTGTGATCCCTTAGGAGTCCTGTAACCGTGACTATAAGGGATATTAAGGATTATATTAGGGTCCTAATACATTCTTACTATACCGCTATTACAGGATGGCGGGTCCTCCTAAGAGATCCCAAGTAAGTAATCCTCCATCCACACAATCAAACATCCTCCTAGTTGTTCGGCCTTAAGTTACATATGGAGGCCAAGGGCGCAAGCCTTGTGTTGCTCAGTCCCCTACTCATGTCGGCGCAAGGTGCCATCCACAAAACTCAACACCTCAAGAACGGACGTGTCCTTGTAGAAGCGAAGGAAGCCAAGGTAGTCGCCCGAAAGATAAGCCGCAGAAGCGCTAATTGCGGCAACAACCAGGGGGTGCTTCAGAATGACCTGCAAGGTTTGTAATTTCAGGTGAAGGAAGGCGCATGAGGACAATCTGCCGGCAAATGGTATATCCCGAATAAAGTGCGGTGGGAATCCTACATGGGCATTCATCGAAATGAAGGTCACGTTACATGTAAGGTTAGAAACCCTGTCAGACATTAGCAGCTCACAATAATCTGAACTCAAAACGCTAAACTGTGACCGCGCCAAGCAGTGCTTGAGAAATTCCCCGCTTGAAATCAGCCTGAATCGCATCCCGAACCTTGTCCAAATCGGCCAAGTGCGCAGGTAGCGTGGCCGGAGAAGTGGCCAGAAGGAGCAAAACCACGAACCGCTGGATGGCGGACTGGTTGCCCAAGTCCTCTCTTCGAAATAAACTACAGGGACTGCTTCAGAGAAAAACAAATATGCCCCATAGAGGTCCCACCAATGTCCCGCTCCTCTGTGGATCCGTAAAGCACCATAGTTCCCATGGTTAGTGGGACTTTGGTCATACGTCAGTTCCAGGTTTACAGGGTTTACGGCAAGTTTAAGGTTTAGGGTCATGGATGGTGACCTCCACTTCAGCCCGCACCTGGGACGAAAGGTAGGTGAGAAACCCTCCTGTAAGGTTCCTGATTATCCCTCTCGGTTAATTGTTAGGGTTTGGGGATTGGGGAATTGAAGACAAGCAGCGTGATTCGCGTATGGAGGCTGCAGCTACAGGGATAGTTATACAGAAGCCCTCATTCATTCTAGTGGAGCAATCCCGACGGAAAGGCAGAGACCTTCAAACACAATATGGGGTTTCCCAAAATAACGAAAGTCACCATTTTACGGATCCCAACAACAAGAATTAAGATATTTGGGAATCTATACTAGGGGCCGCTGAACCCTAAACCCAAAGGACTACGTCCCAAACTTGTTGACTAAGGAAGGCATCGGAGACATCGGGCTACTTACCCTCCTTTGCCACCTTTCCCAAGCAGCAGTTGGGCTTAGGGTTGCGGATGAGGGTGACGACTCGAGAGTTTTGGATTTGGGTTTAGGGCTCAGTGCTTGTGATTAAAAACCTTAGGGTTCACAAGAGTCATAATCTAAACTCCTAGGATCCCCTTTTGATCCCCTTTTGATCCCCTATAGTAGTACCCCGATATAATCCTCTATATAACCCCCCTTTAAGGAGTTTAGACCATAGCTCACATGAGTTTTGGATTTGGGGCTTCAGCCTCAGTGTTTCGGATTTGAGGCTTAGGGTTCACGATGAGAAGAATAAGATTGGGAGTCTGAGGTTTTAGTGTTTAGGGTGTAGGGTTTAGGGGTCTGAGGTTTACGGGCTTGAGTTTCTGTATTCCCCAACCAGTAACCGCCTTTAAAAGGCTCTTAGGGGCCAAATCTAATACCAAACCATCATCCAGCTGTTGCTGGATGTGGGACTATCCCGGACTTTCCTTTAAGGACTGGGAGCCTAAACCCTAAACCTCAAATCCTAGATCCTAAGTCCTAAGCCCTAAGTCCTAAATCCTGAACCCTTAACCCTTGGCTTGTCATGATCCGTCCTGCTCCTGGAAATGCCAGGGCTCGCGATAGGCAGCCAGCAAGGGGTCAATAGTCTGGGAGATCGCCTCCGGGCGTTTTGGGGTTTAGGGTGTACGGTTTAGGGTTGAGGTTTTAGGGTGTAGGGTCTAGAAACAGCTTTGACATAATGGAGAATGAAAATGAAAAATCGAATAGAAACTACTATCTAGGTCTACGGAGAGTGGAGAATCAAATGGGAAAGGAAAATCAAAATGACATGGCAATTGTGTTCATGCAGAGGGAAAAGGATAAGATACGTACGCAGGCTGTAGTTAAGCTTAACGGTTGAAACAACTCCCCGCCGCAACATAGAAACCCAAACGGCCTCGTCTCAGAAGGACAATGGTGTTTGGAGGACCCTGCTTAAGGTATTTTAGGGTTTAGGGTTTTAGAGGACCCTGTTTGGATGGTCTGCACTACTCAGTTTGTGGGTGAAGAATCTTTGCCTTTAGCTGCAAAGAAGAATCGTGCCCTTCGGGGTAGACACTGTGGCCCTATCATGCGCAAGCTTCTCAAACTGAGAGAACGATGAAAGACTTGAGGGATCTATCAAAACCGTTCCTTCGTCATGATATTGAGAAACGAACCCTAGACAGTAGCTTCCATTTTATTTTCCATTATCCCAATATCACCCCAGTATATACCCCAAATAGTAGCTTCCATTTTATTTTCCATTATCCCTATATAACCCCAATGTACTATGGTAGTTTGCATTCTCTTGTCCATTATCTCCTATAGAACCCCCATATAACCCCATTATTCAGGCTTCCAGCTTTTC